CTTCACCCATTGGTTCCTTCCATGCTTTCTATAAGCATAGGGTCATAGTACTTAGCCTGGAAAACATCTCAGGCCATAGAGTCCCATTATCTCATAGAGAGGAGGAACCTGAGCCCAGGGAGACTACATAACTTGCCCATGGGCCGCAAACCTCAGAAATGGGATGCCCAACTCTCACCCATCCTTAAAAAACCTTTGTGTGACCCCACCACCCCCTCAAGTCCTGATCCTATATTTCTCTTCCCTTTCACAGTCAAGCTCCTGGTCAAAGCCATCTATATTCATCGACTCTACTTTCTACTTCTCAGTCCTCTGCAATCTGACTTCCATCCCCACAACTCCACTGAAGTTGCTCTCTCCAAGGTGGCCAATAATCTCTTCATTGCTAAATATGACACTCTTCCCTGATTTCTCATAGTTCTTGACCAATCTGCTGTCTTTAATACTGTTCAATAACCCCTTCCTTTGGATACTTTTTCTACCCTCAGTTTTCATGACACTGCCCAGAACTGTCATATTCCTAGGAACCTTTTCCATGTCCTTTGTAGCTTCATCAGCCATATCCTATCCTCCATATGTGGGTATATCCCAGCACTCTGCCCTAGGTCCTATCCACTGTCTCTGTTTCTCTGTTTCTGTCTCTCTCTCCCTCCCTCTCTCTCCTCTCTCGTTTCTCTCTCTGTTTCTCTCTCCTCTCTCTGTCTCCCTCTCTCCTCTTCTCTTCTTCTCTTTCTCTCTTTTTTTCTCTCTCTTCCCCCCTCCTTCTCTCAGTGATATCGTCTATGGTTTCAACTATCATCTCTATGCATTTACTCCATAACAATAACAACATTTATGTAGCACTTTAAGGTTTGCAAAGCATTTTAATATGCTATCTCATTTGATCCTCACAACAGTTCTATGAGGTAGGTGCTATTATTTTTGCCACTTTACAGATGAGGAAGCTAATGGAATAAATAATGTGTGCTGATAGAAATTATAACTTCAAATCCAGTCCCTACTTCGTTCCCAGTCTATCAGATATCTCTAACTCTATCTGCCCGATAGAGAATTAATTTTCTCTCTACTTAAACCCACTCCTCCTCTTAGCTTCCTTATTTCTAAGCATTCTTCCAGTCACCCCCAGGAGTCACTCTCCCTCAGACACCACATCTGCTCGGTCACCATGTTTTATGGATTCTACCTCCTCAAACTAATTGCCATTGATCCCTTTCTCCCTATTCTCACCTTCATTACCTTCATCTCATCTAGATCTCCGATTTGGTCTCCCTGAATCCAGCCTACACTTCTGTTCAATACAACCTCCTCACATCTGCTACATCAATTTTCCTAAAGTACGTCCCTCCTTTACTCAAGAAGCTCCAGGGACTTCTTGCTGCCTTTGAAATGGAATTCAAGCTCCTCTAGCACTTAAAACTCTTTACCAACTTGATTTCAGTCTATTTTTTCAAGCTGATAATAGATTACTCCTCCTTACACAGCCAACGCTACAGCCAGGCTGGCCCATTTGTTTTTCCCTATATAAATTATTCCATCTCCTACTTTCATGCCTTTGCATAGGCTGTACCTCCCCCTTCCCCACCTAAAATGCTCTACCACCTTCCTTCCCTCTGCCTCTTGGAACTCCTAGCTCCCTTCAGAGCTCAGCTCAAGGACCATCTCCTTCACAATGCCCTTCCTGATTCTCCTAGTTGTCATTTCTCCTCCTCAAAAAATAAAACACACACACACACATACAACATTGCCTTTACTTTGTAGATATCCTGCATTTGCTCATGTACTAATGTTACATTCTCCTAGGAGAAGTTGAGCTCTTGGAGGGCAGGGATAGCCTCACTCTCATCTTTATCCCCAATGTCTTACATGCTGCCTGACAAGTAGCAGGTGCTTAATAAATGTTCATTGATGGATAGGGTAGTAGTGCCACTGTACTCTGCCCCTCGTCAACCAAAATCAGGGCCCTGTGTGCCATTCTGGGTACTGCCATCAACAAAAGACATTGAGAAACAGGATTACGTGTGACGAGGGTACCACTAATGAGGAAGGTCTGACGGTCTGAAGACATCATCCGAGGAGCCGCTGAGCAAAGCTGGCATATTGAGAGGTGAATAAAGAAGCTATCTTCAAATATTTCTAGGGCTTAAAGGTTAAAAATGGATTAACCTTGTTCTCTGTGGCTTCTGAAGGCAGGACCAAGACCGATGAGTGAAAATGAAATGGACACCGATATCGGCTTTAATTGTTATGATTGTCCAACGATGGAAGGAACTGCGTCACAAGACAGGCCGCTTCCAGGCCTGTGAGTGTGGGGACAGAGGCCACGGCATGCCAGCTTTGGGTGGGAGCTTGGGCCCTGCTCTATTAGAGTACACACTCTATTAGATGAACTGAGCTATGACAGATCTAAACCGTGACAGATGAAACCAGAAGCCTAGGGGAAGCTATGGCTCAATGAAAGGAGGGCTCATGGGTTCTCTGGGGAGACAAAGAAAAGGAGTCGGTTCCATCAAGCTCCCAGAGAGTTTCCATTTGGTAGTAAACGCTTGCTCCCTCCCCCTCCCCACGACAAAAAAAGGACTTGACTAGGAGGGCAGAAGAGCATGTGGACTGTTATTCTTCTACCAGGGAGTCACCTCCATGTGTTCTTATACAAGATTCCTTCATAAAGGCAACCACATAACTCTGTCCAATGGCCCTCCATGTTCAAGGAAAGCATAAAACGGGCAGCCAACGGTCATGGAGGACATCTTGAACAAAGGCCTAACGGAAGACAGTTTTTGCACCTGGAGAGGGTCTTCAGATGCTCATTTACAGAAGATACAAGACCTTGATGAGATCCACGGACATTGAAGAGACTAGCCCGGCGGCTAACACCAAACCAAGAAAAGTACCTACCATCTAGACCAGCAGCTCTAGATCCCTGTGGGAGTGGTGGACCGAAGCCTACAGACCTCTTCTCAGAATGACGTAGGTCATCATTCATGGTTGGCTCACCAGATGCCATGTCCTTCCTAGACAACTGTCTGCTTTGTAGGGCACCATGGCTAGAGCTGCTTGGTGACTCCAGGAGGGAATGCAGGAACCATGTGCCCCACCCCCAACGCTCACCCTCTGCTGCCTGGTCCCAGCCTCCCCCACCTCAGCCCCCAGGCAAATGGGGCCAACCCCATGATTAACACAGATCACTTCTTTAGTGGGAATGCCTTTTATCATTCTGAGGCACACAAAGCATTTCCCTTCACAAAAAGTCCATGGGCCACCGGGTAGTTCAAATTGTGAACTCCATTGTACAACTGGGGAAACTGAGGGTCATAGATTATAGAGCTGGGCTGCTTCATTTTACAGAATAACTCTGAAGCCCTGGGAACGTCAGGAATTTGCTTAGGGTAACACACAGTAGGCACTTACTGTTGACTGATCCCATCTCTTCCCCAGGACTTCATAAAGCATTGACATTTGTGGCTTCAAGGAACCCCATTAGATTATCGGCCGCATGAGGGCAAGGTTCTAACTCACGGCCATCACAACCAGGACCGTCACAGTCTCTTCAGCTTTTGAATACTGCACCTCCACAGAACTCAGTGTAAACCAAGGCATCCCACCTCCTCCAACCTCACTGCCACAAGCCTTGGCAGCCTAGGTTGGGCCAATGCCACCAAAACAAGGCGAGGTCACGCCAATCTTGTTGAAGGCCCACCCACAGATGGGTCGACGGAACAAACTGGAGGCGGGACTCTCCCTTGGGGCCAAGCTTAAATTTATTGAAGTTCAAGAAAGGGAAAAAGAGCAAAGAGATGTCTTACAGAACACAACACGAACGTAACAAGCACAAGCGGCTGTGGGCACCAACAGCAAAGACACAGATTTAGAAGGGAATAGAGGATCTGAAACACCCTTGACACCAGGTCAATCAAAGCAGCAGCAGCACCCGGAGGCACTTCCTCCCACCCCCCACGGCAGACCGGCTTTCCCCCATGCCCCCTCCCTCCCCTCGCCAGTGCCCGCCTGCCCATCCCTCCCTCCCTCCACGTCTACACCTACGCTATGTACAAGCTGCCTCCTGTTGGAATGAATGTGAGCCCAGCGAGGGCACCCAGCACAGTGCCTGGCACAGAGCAGCTAAACTGATCTACTGATTGGAGCTCCCAAGTTACCTGAGAAGCACCATGGACAGTGGCGGTGAATTAGGAGGACTGGGCTTCTGAGGGCAGAGGCTGAATCACACCATCTCCAGACTTAGTGGGTCCCCAGCCACCCTCTAATCTAGTATGTGCCTACAACAAGCCAAGAACGCCTACTCTGCCTAAAGACCTCCACGGAGAGGCTTCCCAATCACGCCTCCTAAAGCCACCCGACATGGAGCCCAGACTAGCTCCTGACTCTTCTCACCTGAAAAACAGCTGCCTCATGCCAAACAATCACCAGTGTTTGAAAAAACAAAACACAACACACTCCCTGCGACTCAGAAAGGACTAAACAAGCTCACCTGACCTAAAGAAAAAGGGCTCTTCCCCATTTCCATTCTGCCCACGAGGCCACGATGATTCCAGCTCCACTACCCAGCAACCCGCCTCCAACCCACACTTCAGAAACGAGAGGCTCTCGAAAGGCAGGCCACTGACACCACACACCAAGCGCTTTCCAGCTGTCTGATGCAGCCCACAGAGGTCAGGCCAGAGGCAACAACAAGCATTGGGACCATGTGAGGCTGTGATGTCACAACCGGCTCTTTCAGAACCTTCTGCTCCCAGCCGGGGTCCTGCAAAACCAAGTCTCACAACACGAGGGGGAAAGATGGCTAGAGGAAGCAGGACTGGAGTGTAAAAATGTCAAGAGGCGGCGTCACAATTCACTTCTCAGAGGCTCACACGGGGCACCACGCTTCCCCTAGCATGGGGGGTTTCATCCCTCCAGCTGACAAGGGCTGCTTCCAGCACTTCCTGGGCGGCCCTAAAAAACCCACTCCTTCCAATTCTAAATGGCACCTCTCTAAGGCTTGCTACAGCAACCCCGCCCCCCACCATCCCAGTCATCCCCTGCCACGTCCAGAAGCTTCACTTTGCACAGACAGCCTGATTCAATTAGTGAGCCCCAAGCTTGGGAAGTGCCTGAAAAGCCTGCCCCAGTCACCAAACCCCACAGGGCAACGCAGCAAAACTGTTTACATGGGAGATGGGGTCTCGGGGTCAATTTCCCATCACCTGTTTAGAGAGCCCCTTGAGTTGGAAACCGAGCCAGAGAAAAACTTCTCCGCAGCCAGCACCTCGCCAGGGGCTCCTTCGGTGGTCCTGTCTGCTTCAGGGATGCAGATAGTTGAGGGGAAAGGGGAGGGAGGACATTCAAGGGGCCAGGACAGCGTGCATCTTTCGGAAGCTGCCAAAACCACCTGCCTGAGGTGGCCAAGGGTCGCCAAACCCACCTACAGACAAGCCCGACTCTTAGCTATATTACAGAACTGATGACAGAGTGTTACAAGCAATCATCCGCCTCTAAACTCGAACAAGTTTTCTTCCCACAGTTCTTAGTACATAGCTTTATAAAGAGAAAATGACCCCGAAATAAGAAATTTGCGTCTGAAGGTTTTATTCATCCGCCTTATCTTCTTAACGTCTTTTGGTGGCGGCAAACCCTGGAACGAGAAGAAAGAAGGGCCATGAGGTCGATCCCAACGCTTCGGGCGGCAGCTCAGCAAAGGCGCTGGCGCTAGCCCTCTTACAGAGGCCTGGAGTCTTCAGGCCAAGCATACAATGCCTAGATCCAAGTCATTTTTATAAGGTCCATCAAGTGCTCCACATAAGGCAGAACTTAAACAATCTTCCCTTCCTCATTAACTTGACTGGTCAGAACCCAGCCCAAAGTGGACCAAGAAAGAACATGTACTGCTCCTCCTCAGACCCGAGTCTGAGACCTAGCTCTGGCCATTCCTACCTGTATGACCCTGGACAAGAGGGCCCCCTACCTCCATCAGTGAGGGGGAATTGCCTCATCGGGCACCATTCCCTCGACCAATCATGGGAATGGCTATCCCAGATCCAGTCAGTCCAAAATTAAAAAGAAGGCAGGGGCCGGGAGGCGCTCTCTGTTAAAGAGGGGTCTGGGCTGATTTCAGTGACCACTGGAAGGAAGCCCGGGATGCAGAAGGAGGCTCATAACTCACCCGACGCGGTCCTAGTCCCCGTGTTGGAGCCCGAGGAAGACCCAGAGCTCCGGGAATTAACGGGCGCGGACGGGGGCACCGGACTGCTCCAGGTGTTGAAGTACGGGGGAGGATACGCAGGATGAGTCCAAGTGTTTGACAGGGGCGTGGCCCTGGAAGGCAAGAAGGGACAAAGGGAGGCTCAGCTGTGGGGGTTTTGCCTTGAGTTGGCGATTCAGACCCAGTTTCAGAAGCAGCTCGTTGCATATTTCAAGCTAATGTGATTGGGGGGCGGGGAGCGGTGCTCCAATGTTTATTCAAGAACGAGTTCAGAGATGAAATGCAGCCAGACAGTGTTGGGGCCCTGCCGCCCCTTCATCCTGTTTCCTCTGAGGCCCCAGAGCTCCAATTTCCTCCAAATGGACTTCACCGTTCCTCTGTCTAGCTTTTGAAACACTCCACCTGGTCAGCCTATTGGCACAGCACAGATGGGCTCAGTACGCTGCATACCCTTTTAACTTTACTGGCAAATATCCCATTAGTTAAGTCTTCTGGTATTTCCTTGTTGGGTCTGTTTGGAGACCAGGTCTCCCTGCCCCACCCAGGCTGGAAATGCAGCAGTCACTCCCAGGCCCCAAACCCACTGCCCATCAGCTCTGACCTGCTCCATTTCCAACATGGGCCAGCCTGGTGCCCCCCCACCTCTGCCCTGGCTCCTGGGGGTTCACCGTACCGGTGCCCAACTTGGTGCAAACAGCTGACGGCTTAACCTACTGTAGCCAGAGCTCCAGAGCTCAAGCGATGCACCGACCTCAGCCTCCCTAGGAGCAGGGATTACAGGCACACACCACCTCCCCTGGCTTACACAGCCTCTGGCAATACAGTATACAGGTACCGAGTGTGACTGACTCCCACAAACTGATACATCTGGTAGTTATTTTGGACAGGGCTTCCTTCCATCTACCACTACTCCTGGAGGTTGTTATCACGATGTCAAAATGCTGCTGGATTTCATGAATCTTTATCCCAATGCTACTGTTGAAGTCAATCAGCATTCATTAGCTGCCTACTATGTGCCAGGCACTGTGAATCACTGTCAATTGCTAGCTTCAGTCATTCCCTAAGATTGTCCAAGTAAAATACGAGCAGCGCTATCGCCTCTTTGCTTGTCTCTAAGTCTGTTTCTTTCTCTAGTCTTATTGTCGCCGTTTCTACAACTATGTCAAGTAACAGCAGGAAAAGGAGCCTTATCCCTGTATTTATAGGAAAAGTCTGACCCCAAACCCTCCGCTGTGTCCCATACCCGTCCTGTTACTTTCATGGAACCAGGAGAATAGAGTTCTGGTCACTCCCATTAACCCCTAAGAAGAGAAGGCTTCCTAGACGCCCAGACCAAAGTGGGGGGAGGTAGCGGTGGGGGTGGCGTACCTGTTGTTTCCGAACAAGTAGCCTAAAAGGCCACCAGTCCCCAATCCAGTCCAGAATCCAGGGCCAGATTGGCCAAACGCTTGGGGACCCGTGAAAGAGTTGCCAAAGCCCCATCCGGGGGTACCCGATGCTAATGCAAACAGCAGAGACAAGGGTTAGCCCAGAATCCCCTTCCCAGGGAGGCCACCCCAGGACAAGCCAAGCCCCCCAGCCCAGGAGGAGGCTGCCTCCACGTTCCCTGGGGGATCGGCTCTTAGGAAGCCTCCCCCAGAGCCCAGATTCTCCACAAGAACCAGGCACCCAGGACGAGCCTCAGAGCCAGGCCGTCCACCTGCCCGTCCCTTCCTTCCTCCAAAGCACACAGTCCATAAGAAACAAGCTTTTCCCTCTCCGGGGCCCAGAGAGGAAATTTCAGAAGTAAAACAAACGTATCTTGGTTCTCCCGGCCCCCGTTTCTCTACCCCTTTTCGCCAGCTCCCCCCAGTCAGCATTCTCTCCCTACGCAGCTCCTCCTGACCACCAGACTCTCTAACTCTGCTCCCTTAATTAAGCTGGGCCTCAGTTTCTCCATCAGTAAAATGAGGGGTCTGGACAGGCCCATCTGCAAGGTGGCTCCACCCTGGATTTCACAGCATCCTGGGGTTACTGCTGGAAGGAACCCTGAAGATCACCTATTTCACAAATGAGAAAAAGGATCACCACTCTGGTGTGGCAACACTGGCTGTGTCTGGTTGTGCCCGACTCTTCATGGGCCCATTGGGGTTTTCTTGGCAAAGATACTGCAGTGGTCTGCCACTTCCTTCTCCAGCTCATTTGACAGATGAGGAAACTGAGACAAATGGGGTTAAGTGACTTCCCCAGGGTCACACAGCTAGTAAGGAAGGCCAGATTTGAACTCAGGAAGATGGGTCTTTCTGACTCCAGGCCCAGCACTCTATCCACTGCACCACCGGTGTGGCGACGCAGCCAAGCCTTATGAATGCCCCAAGTCACGGCCAAGGCTTCAATCTCCTTACAGTGCTGCTTTTAACCTGGGGATCACGGGGGTCTTCAAAATGCCCTGGAACCCCCGCCCAACCCAGCCAGCTCTGGGGGATGGTGACATCCAGTCCCTTCCAGTCACCACGCTCACAAGAGACACTGGAAGCCATCCCTCGGGGGAAAGGAGCCATAGTAACATACCTGTGAAATAGGACTTGAAGCCTGGGGGAGGAGGAGGCGGGGGTGGGGACGCCTGGAAGAACCTCTGGTGGTCCTGGGGATGCTCAGTGTAGGGCGGGGGGAGATCCTCATTCTGGGCTTTCAGAAAGAGCTTATAAACGCCCAAGGCCAGCACCAGCAGGATGACGACGGCCAACAGGCCTCTGGTGCTGGAGGGCACAGGGGAATCCATCTTCTCAACGTACCCGGGGAAGTAATTGGAGCCGTAGGTGTTCCCGTGGCTGTTGGCGTCACCGCCGCTGGCGTCTTTGTATTTCTTCCGGCCTTGCTCGGTCAACTCCAAGTTGAACTCCAAGCCGCAGGAGCCGCGGAGCACGTAGGGGTCATCGGGGTAATCATAACCTTCGCAGCTCACAGCGGTCTTGCCAAATCGGTAGGACGTGTCGAGCTCTGCTTTACACTCCCACTGCGGGGGGGCAGAGAAAAGACAGCCGCCCTCCTCTTACTATTGGGAAAGTGCCTCCCGCCTCTCGGGGAGGGTACAGACAGAGAGCAGCGTGCAAGCCCTCCCCTGCAGGCCCCATTCTGCCCTCTGCCCTGCACTAGGGGAGCTCTCAAGGCTCTGCAGCTGTGATCCCACAATCCCACCATCAAAGCTTCCTGATCCTGGGAGGTATAAAGTCTACTCTGCCTTCTTCTTGGGGGAGAGGATGGGAGGGGAACCAGACCCGAGATTCCAGCGAGGACACCCCCTTTCCCAGCGCAGATCAATGGCTGCTCTAACCCTCCTGGGGCCCTGGGCAGAGGGCAGGGGGCAGGGACGGATGCCATCGAGAAACCCCACAGCTCGCCCAGGGTTACATATCCAGTACACAGGGAAGTCAGAGCTCAAACCCAGCTCCGAGGGACCTCGTCCAAGGAAGACAGACCACCAGCAAGTGAGGCCGAATGGTCATGGTACATCAAAGAGGATTTAAGGATAGAGGCAGTGGAGGGAGGGGACTCAGTGGGACTCCCTGCATGACCCTGGACCAGTCACTTCCCCTCCTGAGACCTGAGCTTCTGCCTCTGTGAAATGGAGGCAGCCGGAGTGGGATGAACGCCCCATCAGGAGGCCGCCAGCCCTGACGCCTGGACAGGCTCCCTCCTGGTGGCTCCCAGCCCTACCACGGCCGGTACCTGAACGTCAAAGCCGTCCCAGCCTTTGTTTCGGCACTGCACGATTTCAGGGATGTGGGCCGGGCATCCGGCAGAACCACCGAGGCACTGCAGCTGAGGGATGGGCGCAGTCCTCCGCGCAGTGGTGAAGCGGTCTCGGTGGAGGGTCAAGGCCTGGATGTCCCGTAGCAGAATTTTCTCTACAGAGCAAAAGAAAAAACGTCAGCACAGTGCAGACAGAGGACAAGAGATCTCCAACGTGGCTACCACACAGGGCAGCTTCTCGGTCACTCCCGGCCACCTCCACAGGCGACACGGCTCCCTCGGCCCGGGCCCATCGCCAGGCCGAAATGAAGCTCAAGGACAGACTTCTCCCAGGTCAGAAAGGCGGCGGAGTACCACTGAAGGTACAGGGCAGGCCTCAGGCTCAGACTCTCCCCAAGGGAGATGGGGCAGCAATGGAGCGAGAGCAGCTCATCTCTAGGGTCCCTTCCCACTAGAAACCCACAGATCTGGGCAGTTAGATTGGGTTACAAGCAGGGAATGAGAGATGCCACCATCCAGCACAGGGACTCCCCTGACCTGACCTCACACAAAATAAAACACCAACAGAACACACGGGGAGAATTTTCTTATGTGAAAAAAAAGCATGCCTTTAAATGAAATGCATTTAAACAATGTCTCCTGACAAGAAGTGTCAACTAAAAGGCTGGATATTATTCTCAATTGGAGACTAAAAGATCAAAATGTGGAGTATGAACGTAATGGAATAATGCAGAGCCATGAGAAATGACAAGAGAACCCTTGGAAGACCCGTGTGAACAGATGCAGAGGGGAGGGAGCAGAACCACGAGGACCACTGCTCCGACTGCGGCAACGCTTCAAACATGAACAACTGTGAAAGAACTGGGGATTCTAATCAATGCAGGGACCACCCGCTGTTCCAGAGGACTGACGAGGCAGCACGCTACTCCCCTCCTGACAGAGAACGGAGGGACTCAGGGCACACAAAGAGACAGACGCTTTCCGGACGCGGCCAATGCAGACATCCGTTTTGCTTAGCCATATTTATCACAAAAGTTTTGTTTTTCTTTTTTTTTCCCAACAGGAAGGCAAGAAGCGGAAGGGAAAGAAAATAAATGCTTATAGATTTAAAAAAATAATTTAGCTCAAAACATGAAAGAAAAAAAAAGAAATGATCACTGAGGTGGAAATTGTGGGAACCCTTCAGGAAAGTGACCACTTACTCCACCCGAGAGTTTGTGATCAAGAAGGAGAGGAAATCTGAGCATAATCTGAAATGATTCCAAAATCTGGGCAAGGCAGATTTCGAAGGGTTCAGAGGAAAATAGGTAGGATCCCATGGACTAAGATGTTTCAGAAGGGGTCAGTCCAGGAAAGATGGGAGTTGCTCAAACATAAAATTCTGAAGACAAAAAAGGAAACAATTTCAATGAGGAAGAAAAATGGAGTTTGTCTGCAGAGGTCACTGTGGATGCACAGGGAACTCACCAACCAGTAGATTTTAAAAAGAAATGTACAGAAGGTGGAAGCAAGGCCAGAACAGAAGATGAATATAAACGCCTGGCACAGCGCTGCAAAAATGGCATCAGGGCAATTGTGGCTTTGACAGCGTTAGAGGCTACAAAAGATACCCTCAAAAAGCAACAGCATTTTCATAGAATAACAATTTTAAAAAGGGAAGTCCCATTCCAAGTAATTACGGATTGCATAAAGCAACTGGGGATCGATCTAACAAGGGACATTAAAGACTTGTTCAGATTCAATTACAAATCACTCCTTCATAGAAATAAAGAACAACATAAACAGTTGGAGGATGAGTCAGTGCTCGTGGGGCCAGGCCAATATCAAAACTGTCCATAGTATCAAAGTTAACTTATGCTTTTAATGCATATCAATCATATTACCAAAGGATTATTTTACAAAACTTGATAAAATAACAACAAAACTCATGTGAAAAATAAGAGATGTAGAATGTCACATGAAACAATGAAAAGAGGTCTGGGGTGGGGGTGGAGGTGTGTCATAGCACTTCCATACCTCAAGCTATTGTATAAAGCCTCAGTCAACAACCATCTGGTGTTGGTTAGGAAAGAGAAAGAGGCATCTCAGTTAGAACAACTACACAAAGGAGAACCAGGAACAACAGAACTCAATAACTCAGTGTTTAATAAATTAGAAAACAAACTCCTTAGGAGAGAACTCCCTACTTGTTTAGAAAAAAAACTGCTGGGAAAACAGTCTGGCAGAAATTAGGCTTGGACTAACACCTTATACACCATATTCCACAATACGTTCTAAATGTATATGTGACCTTAAGGATCGTATACACTATTTTATAAAATTTGGACAAAAGCAGATCATATACTTTTCATGGCTGAGGAGGAGATACATTAAGAATACTTAATCAAAGGACAAGTGATAAAATAGATAATTTTTATTATATCAAACTGAAAAGCTTCTGTACAAACAAAATTAACACACACAGAATAAGGAAAAGGAAAAGGGTTGAATGGTGAAAAGACTTTGTATCAATAAAGGCTTGGTTCATATAACAAAAATAATTCCATTTCAAAAGAAGAAATCCAAAGCCCCCACAGCCACATAAAAATGGTCCAAACTACTAATAACGAGAGAGGTTGCACCTCATGCCCATCAGATTGGGAAAGGCGACAAAAAAAGAAAAATGACAAATTGCTGGAAGATCTGTGGGAAAATAGGCATGATAATGCATCGTTGCTGGGGCTGGGATGTAGTTCAGCTACTCTGGAAACTCATTTGGAATTATGCCCCTCAAAGTCACTAGCCTGTGTGCATACCATTTAACTCCCTAATCCCATTACTACGCATACATATCCCAAAGAAAGAGGTAAATACAAAGATATTTATAGCAGCTTTTTGTTATAGCAAAGAACTGGAAGCAAAGTAGGTCCCCACCAACTGAGGAATGGATGACCAAATCATGACATATGAATGTAATGGAATATTACTGTACCCCAAGAAATGATGGCAGGGATAAACTCAAAGACACCTGGGAAGATCTGCATGAACTGATGCAGGGTAAAGAAATCAGATCCAGAACAATTCCCACAATGACTACAAAAATGCAAAGGAATGCAAAGAAAGACAAATTCCAGAGGACCGCCAGTGGAGCATGCCGCCCACCCCTGACAAGGAGGTGAACTGGAGGTGCACATGGGTACTTACCTTTTCAGACATGGCCAAGCAGAGAGCAGAAGGAAGTTAAGGAGCAGGCACAGACAAGCACTACCATCATGTTGTTAAATTTAATACACTTATGCTTTCACAAACACTGTGTGAACACTACCAAATTTTCCTTTTTTCTTTTCCAAACACAATGCTCTTTCTCTATTCTTTGTAAATGGAAATGTTGGTTGTCTCTGGTAGACTGTAATCTCCTTGAGGGCAGCATCTCTTCCATTCTCACTTCTGTATTCCCGGCCCCTAGCACCACAGCTGACCTGTAGTAGACACTTAATAAGCACTTGCTGACCCAGTTCGGACACTTACTAGCTGTGAGACCCTGGACAAGTCACTGGACCCTCCTGATGTCCTCATCTCTCAAATGGGGGGGGGGGGGGGGGGGCTGCTTTCCAGCTCTAAATTTATGATCCTCTAAGTCACTCCTCTGAGCCTCAGGAAGTCACTCTACAAACCTTGAAGCCCTACAGAAATAACAGTCCTTGCTACTTGAGTACTTAAAACGGGGATACAAATGTATTCAAACTTCCCATAAATGGGGTTGTCATTAAAAAGAATAATAATAATAATACCTACATAGAACTTTAAGGCTGGCAAAGCATTTTAAATATCACCTCATCTGATCCTGACAACCACCCTAGGAGGTGGGGACTATTATAATCTCCATTTTATAAATGAGGAAATTGAAAAGGGAAGTGGTTAATTGCCCAGGGTCACATGGTGAGAAGTGTCAGAGGCCAGCTTGGAACTCAGGTCTCCCTAACTCCAGGACATAGCACTACATGGCTGCTTCATATATGAATTACCTTCCCAGAATGATAAGGTGCTTGATTTGAAATGAGAGGGCTAGTGAGTGCACTAAGAAGGGGGTGCCTGAGGGGGACTTTTGGACATCTGAATCTCCAACTTTAAACGTGAGATTGCCAGATTCCTGGTCAGGGATGGCACATATCTACAAAAACTACAACAATGTATTTGCTGAGTGTTTTACAAATCTGTAAGGGCTTTAAACCAAAAAGGATGTTAGAAGGAGAAGAGTGCCTGTATGTATCCCCCTCCAAGTTAGATACTATAGAAAATAGCCACAAAGAAGGAACAATAACCCTGAGACACCCAAAAGTTCACAGGAGGCAAAACCCAAGAAAAGAGTAGCAGTAGAAAAAACAAACAAACAAAACTATGGCCTCAAGAGCACACACACAAACGTCCAGAGTTTAGGCAACAAACAAACTAGATCCCTCAACCATGGGGGTACATTTGACCTCATGCTAAGTACCACTGAGGCGTGGGGGATGAAACTGTGATTGTGCCATGGCTCTGGATGGGCACACCTTATCTGACATAACAAGGCAGGCAAAAGCAGGGGCAAGACAGGAAGGTGTGTTCACGGGAGGAAATTCAGGAACCACAAAGGAGAGGGAGCATGGTGAAGATTATTTGGGCAAAGGTCAAAGGAGGGAGAAACAAGACAAATTTGTCACTGGAGTATGCTAGAGACAACCCGGCCAGAAGGAAGAAATAGATGAAGCAACTGAAACAGATCCCAAGCCTGACACAGAGGCATCATGTAAGAGTGACGGGCACTTCAATGTCCTGACACCCGCTGGACCTGAAAAAGGCTGAGCTACAATTAACTTCTTGACTTGCCTGAATGATTATTTCATTCTTCAAAAAGGGAAGGAACAAAAAAGGGAAATTCCACTCTGGATCTGGTTCTTACTCACAGGGAGAAATGATGGAAAATCTGGGGATGAAGTGACCACACAGGTAGACACAAATCTTAGACCAAGAGAAAACAGATTTCCAAGACTTCAGAGGGAGCACAGGGAGGATAAGGGGGATCCCACGGATTAACATGTCACAATGAAAGTCTGTCCAGGAGGGCTGGGAGATTCTCACAGATAAAATTTTGAAGACACATGGAAACAATTCCAAATAGGAAGAATAATAACTAGCATTTATATAGC